AAAAAAAAAAAAAAAAAAAAAAAAAAAAAAAAAAAAAAAAAAAAAAAAAGAAAAACAAATCTATCATCTTCACTTAGAAATTTCAAAAACTGCCCAGATTTGTCTTTCTCTCTGCTCCAGTGATATCCTCCTCCAATAGCCCCCAGGAGGCAGTGTGATATATTGCAAGGAGCTTTGGTCAAGGGTTCCTTCCTATTCTGTTCTCACTTCTTACCTAGATAACCTTGAGAACCAAGTCATGATTCTTGAAACTGAGTCTTGGTTTTTTCATCTATTAAAAGAAAAAGAAAAAGAAAAAGAAAAAAAAGAACCTATTTCACACAAATGAAAGAGCTTTAGTAAAAGAGCATGGCACACAATTTCTGTTTAAATGTCTTTCCTTGTTTAGCATTCATGAGTTAGATTAGATTCAATGAAGTTAGGAGGCAAAGGATAAGTCAACTTCTGGAGTTTCCTTTCAATTCAAGATTTAGATGAAACTCTATTCCTTTTATTGCAGACTGAAATGTTGCACTTGTATTAGCTTCCTATTACTACATAAAAAATTACCACAAACTAAGCAATTTAAAATAACATCGATTTATAATCTTACTGTTCCGTATAGAACATAAATTCAGGCAGTCTTGACTGGGTTCTTTGCTTAGAGGCTCACAAAGCAAAAGTCAAGGTGTTGTCTTGGCTGGGCTCTCATGTGGAGATTCTGGGGAAGAATCATTTCCAAGCTCATTCAGGTAACTGGCAGAATTCAGATCCTTGTAGTTATAGGAATGAGGTCCCATTTCCTTGCTGGCTGCTGGCTAGAGGGGCACTCAGCTCTTAGAGACCACTTTTTGGTCCATGCATATGGTCCTCTCTACAATCATAACTAGCAGTGGTGCATTAAATTCTTTCTTCAAATTTCTCTGATTTCCTCTTCTGCCACCAGCCTGGGAAAGCTCCCTGCTTTTAAGAGCTCATGCAATTACATCAGGCCCATCCAGATAATCTCCCTATCTTAAAGTCAACAGTACCATGTAACATAACCCGGGGAGTGATATCAAATTCACAGGTTCTGGGGATTAAAGCAGGACATCTTTTTTTTTTTTTGCAGCTGGCCAGTATGGGGATCCAAACCCTTGACCTCAGCTTTATCAGCACCATCCTCTCCCAAGTGAGCAACCTGCCAGTCCATCCTTAAGGGGTCATTTAAAAAATTCTGCCTACCATTGCATTTATTCAAAAGATGAGAGGAAATGATTTCTTTTGGGGATAAGGTGGGGGAACAAAGTGGGAATAAACCATCTCTAACCAACCATTTACATTAATGAGAGAAGCCTAGCATTTGAGAGAACCTCATGCTTGGTATTCTACTTATATTTTGCAATTTCTAAAGTGGCTACTTTGACAACAATGTACTAATACCCAGTACCCTGAAGTAAATGCTCAAAAATAAAGAAATTTTAAGGAATGCACGGGAACTAAAAGATCTTCCCATGTTTTAGTTTTTCTGCATCACATAGTGAGAACACCAAGCTGTGCATGAGTGTGTCCTGAGAATACATGTTGGAAAATACATGGTATTTTGAGATACGGTTTAATAGAGAAAGTTTCATTGCTTAAAACTTGGGGGACTAGGACAATATTCTCTACTCGCCAGTGTTATGCTACTGCTCTTCCTTTTTCTAATTCAAAATCATTCTATTCATTTCTCTTGAGTAGTGAGAAACAGAGATGCCCTAGATTCCTGGACACCAACTCAAGCTAAATCACTAGTGTTGTACCTGGTTCAGCCTTCTCATCCTGATGACCTTGAGAAGGCCTAAGACTAACAAATCCATCCAGAAAAGGAGGCTGGAGCAGGGCTCCTCATTACTGCTGTTTAGCATTTCAGTGATTTTCAAAGGATACCATTTACTTCTAATTAGGATGGCACAAACCTATTGACACTCCTCCCCTGAAGAAACATAACTGACTCTTGAAGAAAGCAAGGAGTAAGAAGTGGGAAGCAGGTCTCACTGCCTTCAGCATCCCTGGATTCTATCTCCACATGCTTTCTGGCCACAATTTAACCATTTTGAGAGTTCTAGCACAGTGTTTGGCTAGTTTGAAGGTAGTGAGTTATTCCAATTAATTGTTCAGTCAGTTACAGATCGTTGTTTTACTCTTTCCTCCCTTCTCACTACTGCACTAGTCTAAAAAAATTTTTTTTGAATGGTCAGCTCCCTTCTTATGCCAAGAGGGAGAAGCTATCTATAAAATGGGTATAATATGCTCTCAGTGCCATGAAGAATAAGAAAGCAAATTATAATCAATACCCATTGAATTTTGATGGCATTATCCTTTCCAAATGCTCAAGGTACCTTTGTGTGCACTTGCATAATCCCTGGGATGAGTATTATTACCCCTATTCAGGAGATGGGGAGAAACAGAGGTCCTAGAAAGTTACTAGTTAGTGATCTGCCCAACATCACAGTGGCCAGTGCTAGAAAAGAGATTAGAACTAAAGTCTCCTGATTTCAAATTGTGCTATTTCAAAAACTACAAGGACAAGTAGAAAGATTTCACAACCATAATGTTATCAAAGCTGGAGAGAGCTTCATAAAATCTGCTCTTGGACCTGCTGTTCTACTAAAACATAGTACTCCTCTATCCCAAGTTGTTGGCAACTTGAGTAACGATCTCTTGGGGCCTGAAGCTATGAGGATCCAGGTTGCCTTGACTCCTCCTGAAGATATTTGCTTTGAAGCTTCTTGCAGAACCATCTCATCATTCACCTCAGGGAGAAAAAACACACAGGTAGGGCCGGCCTGTGGCTCACTTGGGAGAGCGTGGTGCTGACACCACAAAGTCAAGGGTTAAGATCCCCTTACCGGTCATCTTTTAAAAACAAAAAAACCCAAAAAACAAAAAACACAGGCCACCAAGCTTTGCTCTCTCCAAGCACTCAGTTGTTAAGGGGTTAGCTGAACTCAGTCCCAAAGAAAGGACCAAGGAGAGAAAGAAAATACAGATACCTGATGACTTGTGAAGGGGATGGGGCAACAGAGCCTTTTACCAGAGGCTCAAATTCAAGTGACCAAAACAGAGAGAGGACTATTCCTCATCTCCAAATATGTAGGTAAGATACCTCCCACCAACTTGGCTTAAGGAGAAATTAGGATCTGTTCTTGTGAGGTCCATAGCTCAGAAAAGAGTTATTTGAGGATATTATAGTAATATGTAAGCAAACTGGATAGGATCCCTCTCGACCCTGGATCACAAAAGCAAAAGGGCAAGGGTGAATGACTTGGAGTGATCTGCTTCCTGAGCATCAGTTTACTCTGGGGTCAAGTCCCCACCTTGGGCTTTAATTTTAGCCACTGACTGAACTGAAAGTAAAACCACTGTGGTTATTCACATTATCATTTCAGAAAGGATGTTAATTTACACAGTTATTTCAAGCATGTATAAGATAAGGCTTATTCAAAGTTCATCTAGCCTTTAAAAAATATACGTAATTTCTTACCTTTATACTGACTCCCCAGTCCAAAGTCCCTCTTGAGGCATTTTTAAGGGAAAAGGTTTTATATTTGCTTACTCTACACTTTCCTCCCAACTTGGGAAAATGTTATACCAGTCACCAGCAACATTATGCTTGAAGAGAGTCCCCCAAGACCAATTATGTGGTAGTCTTACACCCTGAACTGCAAGAGATGACCCTGGCTCTAGTTCCATCTCTGCCAGTGAATGACCTCTCTAAGTCTGTTTTCCTTACTTGTGAATCGAGGGGGTTGAATTAGATGATTAAATAAAACAACTGACTAAGCACTTGCTGAGATATATCATGCTAGATACTTTTAGGGATAGAAAGATGAATATGACACAGTATCTGCTTCAAGAAACTGACGGCCTAACTTGGAAGATAAAGTGCCCACATGCACACACACACACACACACGAATGCGTCATCACAGAAAATAAGTATTACAAAAGAGATACAACATGCTTTACAGCCTTTTATAGGGTGTATGGAATTGAGGGTGGATAAGAAATCAGAAAACAGCTTCATGAGAAAGAGGAAGCATTTAAGCAAAACTTTAAGGATAACTGAGAAAGAATTTGACAAAGAGGAAAGTGAGCAAAGATTCAGGAAAAGCAAGCAGAGATGGACAGAAAAAGAGAAAGGCTGGAAGATATGGTAAAGACAGAAAAGCATTTGAAAAATGACAAATAGTCCACTTTTGGTACAGTGTATAGGAATAATAAAAGATAAAGCTGAGAAGGTCGAGGTCAGACTGTTTTTGAGTTGGTAAACAACAAAACCAATCCTACACTTAAGGAGGAATCACCTGGCAGTGGTGGGCAGAAGTAAATGCTAGAGGGAAGAGACTGGAGATAGAAGGCCAGTTAAGAGGTTATTGCAATAGACCAGGTAGGTGACAATGAGGACCTGATAGGGCAGTGGAAACAAAAAGCCAACCTTTAAGCCAGTAAGTTGCTACTGACCCCAATCCTCCAAGGCAAGCAGCAAGCCATGCCAGGTGAAAACTATTAAAAAGGAGCACTACTTTGAAGCTTCCCTGAAACAGAATTAAGAACTGAGCCCAGCCAGACCCATGTTAAGCTTAGAACCATCACCATCTTCCAGTCCTCATAGTCTCACCAAGGCACACAGCCAACTGTGGAAAATAAATATACACAGGAGACTCAAGAAACATCTTATTAATACAGTATTTATTTGTCTTCTCTCTGTCAAACTCTGAGCCAACCACTTTCCCCGGGCTGCCTGGGGAGGTATAGGAGAAGGAACATACAGGGCAGATGGAACACAGGAGAAAGAACTATGGGAGGTGGAGACAGCTCCTTCACATGGCGAAGAGGATGAGAAAGGCCACCATCAGGCAAAAGAGTCCCATGGCCTCCGAGAGGGCAAAGCCCAGAATGGCGTAGGAGAAGAGCTGTTGCTTCAGAGAAGGGTTCCTGGGAGAAGGGGAGGAGAAAAGACAGAATTTCTAGTCCACCCAAAGAAAAGGACAAACATTAAGGTGGGCTCAGGGAGAACTTCCCTCTTCAAGCTCATCTTATGTAATGTGACTTTCAGGATGACACCATTATGTCCAAATTCTTGCCTTGATGTACCAAGGCTGTACAGGGATTGAATGAGCGGAAAGTGGACAATCTAAAATATTGTGTCACAGCCTAGATACAAATATTACGTTTTCTAGTGGGTCACCCATATCATCAACGTATCTTAAGACCTCTAGGCCTGGACACTTAATATCCAGGGCCCAAATAGGATGGAAGAGGCATCTGGAGTGGCAGGGTCTATTTACAGCAGTTGTTTTCAAATTTTAAGCAGCAGAACTCCCAAACAGGAAACATATAAAAACCAAACTGTGGGCTGGCCAGTTAGCTCAGTTAGTTAGAGTGTGGTGTTGATAACACCAAGGTCCAGGGTTCGATCCCTGTACCAGCCAGCCACCAAAACCCAAAACAGAAGAAAAACTGCAATGGTATGAAGGTACTTCAAAAAGGTCATGGAAAAATAAAGAGATAATAGGAATCTTTCCATGAACTTTTTAAAGGCCCCTTATACAAAAGAAGCGGGTTACACAAATAGTGATAGTTAACTCTCTACGCCATAAATATGTATTTAAAAAATAAAAAATAAAAAAATTAAGGGGGGTATTTTAAGGGTTTGTTTTGTCTTCCCTTCATTCTCTAAGACAGTCTCTGGGGTTTATCCTCAGAATCCTAGGGCTTTATGGAACACAATTAGAAAAACACTGTTCTAAAGGACTAGAGTGTCACAGGGACAAACTACCTTCTTTCATTTCAAAGCAGTGAAAAGATTTTGGGCTTTAAGAGGCTACAAATGGTCTGTGGGGATTGTGATATGAGTCAATAGGATAGATAAAGGACCCCCAACTCTGCAAGTCAATATATAATTTGTATTTCCCTTACTCCGATACCTCTGGAAGTCTTGATGGGTAAGATGAATCAACACCAGTTTTTAACAGAATTGTGGACACAGAAGCAGTCAGGCTTCTTGTTCAATACGAATCCCAAAAAATAACCCTATTTCCCCGAAGACATTAAGAGAACTTGCTAGTCTCTAGAGGATTAATTTAGTTCTAATAGTGAGTTGTCCAGAGCTGGTGGGGACCAAACAGTCCCAGGTGTCAGGGACCAGTAAAGCTGACTGCAGAGGCAGTTTTCCCAGGAGTGACAGGGGAATTCCCAGACATGGGGAAAATTAGCAGTAAAGGCACTATGCTGACCGAGGCTCTAGACCAGGGATAGCAAACTTTTTCTGTGAAGGGCCAGATAGTAAGAATGTTAGGCTTTGTGGGCCACATATATCCCGTTACCTTTTTTTTTTAAATAACCTTTTAAAAATGTAAAAACATTTCTTAGCCCAATCATATAAAACCAGGATGTGGTTCAAATTTGGCTCTCTGGCCTTAGTTTGCCAACCCCTGCTTTAGACCAAAGCTATTCAATAGAACTTTCTTTGATGATGTAAATGTTCTATATCTGCACTGTCAAATATGGTAGTCTCTCACCACATGTGGCTACTGGATCCTAAGCACTTAAAATATGGTTAGTGTGACTGAGGAAATGAAAACCTAAACTTTATGTATTTTTAACCAATTAGAATTTAAGTTCTAAATAGTAACATGTAGCTAGTGGCTACCAAATAGGATAGTGCAGCTCTAGACTCCCAAACACTTCTGCCCAGACCTTTGGAAAGTATATTAGAGAGCCAGCGGAAGGCCCAACTTTTCTTACCTGGCATAACCAATGATGAGGCTCCCAAACACAGTCCCAATCCCAGCCCCAGAACCAGCCACCCCAACTGTGGCAGCCCCAGCCCCAATGAACTTGGCTGCTGTGTCGATGTCCCTTGAAATGGCGCTGGTTTGGAAGTTGCGGCTAGGGGTAAGTGAGGTCAGGGGACGCGGGACTGCCAAGCTGCTGAGGCTCTGTGAAGAAGAGGCAGGTAGAAGGTAAAGTTTTTTGGAGACTCCTTTTTTGCTTTGGAAACTTTTGTACCATTTAAATCCTTTACATAGGCTGGCCAGTTAGCTCAGTTGTTAGAGTGCAGTCTTATAACACCAAGGTCAAGGGTTCGGATCCCAATACTGGCCAGTCACCAAAACCAAACAAACAAAAAAATAAACACTTTATACTGTCAAATTCCATGGTTTCTCCCTCGAATGGAAAAGCATTTAACTCTTAGAAAACTCCCTAAAATGCTTGCAAGTAGAACCTTTTAATGTAGCAAGTGGGCTTCAAAAATGCCTTTAAGATTCATGTGTAGTCTAAACTTGTAAGACTGAGGCCCTAGCCTATTTTTGGTGCCCTTAGATCATCTTCCTGAGACTAGATTCTCCCAACTGAAGTCAGTAGACTAGGCTGAGTAATGAGAGTTAGCAGCAGCACCATGGGCATGTGCTGCCAATGGCAAAAATGGGAGCACTAGAGCATATATCCTATTAACTGTCCTCCATCTCTACCTAAAGCCAATGGCCCTAATCCTTCACTAATTTTAGTCTGTGATTACTGCCCTCAGCACTCTCCCTCTCCACCCCACACCCCCAAACCACAGTCCCAACTCCACCTGTAAGATACCTCATCTGTCAGTGTCTCTGGTCGTTTCAACCCCAATGCAGACAGTGGTCGGCTCAGCAGCTGAGAGGTGCTCCTGACCAAGGAGGAGATGGAGACAAACTTGGAGCAAGTGTACATTTTCAGGGGGTGAGGGGCTGTGTGAAGAAGAGGCAGGTAGAAGGTAAAGTTTTTTGGAGACTCCTTTTTTGCTTTGGAAACTTTTGTACCATTTAAATCCTTTACATAGGCTGGCCAGTTAGCTCAGTTGTTAGAGTGCAGTCTTATAACACCAAGGTCAAGGGTTCGGATCCCAATACTGGCCAGTCACCAAAACCAAACAAACAAAAAAATAAACACTTTATACTGTCAAATTCCATGGTTTCTCCCTCGAATGGAAAAGCATTTAACTCTTAGAAAACTCCCTAAAATGCTTGCAAGTAGAACCTTTTAATGTAGCAAGTGGGCTTCAAAAATGCCTTTAAGATTCATGTGTAGTCTAAACTTGTAAGACTGAGGCCCTAGCCTATTTTTGGTGCCCTTAGATCATCTTCCTGAGACTAGATTCTCCCAACTGAAGTCAGTAGACTAGGCTGAGTAATGAGAGTTAGCAGCAGCACCATGGGCATGTGCTGCCAATGGCAAAAATGGGAGCACTAGAGCATATATCCTATTAACTGTCCTCCATCTCTACCTAAAGCCAATGGCCCTAATCCTTCACTAATTTTAGTCTGTGATTACTGCCCTCAGCACTCTCCCTCTCCACCCCACACCCCCAAACCACAGTCCCAACTCCACCTGTAAGATACCTCATCTGTCAGTGTCTCTGGTCGTTTCAACCCCAATGCAGACAGTGGTCGGCTCAGCAGCTGAGAGGTGCTCCTGACCTAGTAGGAATGACATAAGGGCAGAAGGGTCAAGAAAGGATGTGGAGGAGTTTCAGAACCATGCCAAGCTGTTTGTATCATCAGATAGGATCTTCTCTCCTCTGTTGCCCCTTCCATTCTCTCACACTTAAATCAGAATGTTGGATCATTCTTTCTCACTCTTAGGAAATTCTGGATTCAAGAACCACAGCATTTCTCTTGATTCTTAGGCTTTGCTTTAAGGAAAGAAAGTCTACTTCCTTTTGGGCCACAAGGGATTATTCACTCTTGCTGTACCCCTTTACAGACCTTCAGAATGAGAAGAAATCTAAGTCTCAGAAGTAACTGCTTCACGCAACAAGGGGTGTACATATATATATAGGAAATGGCCAGTCCACAAGAAGGAAGCCAAGGAAATTGGGGAATCTTTCCCTGAACACATCCATCTAGAAAACAGGCACAAAGATTCATGCTCAAAATCCACCCCCCTCCTGGTAGCCTTTTCTGAATAACCCCAAGCCAGTGTCTCCAAAACAGATGACATGGTGATTAACAGCCACGGCTTTAGAGTCGAATGGATCTAGATTCAAATCTTAACGCTATGTCAGCAGTTTGATCTCAGGATAAGTCACTCAAATCTTTCTAAGACTTTTCTCATCTATCAAATGGGAATAATCTCTCTCAGGGTTGATTTGAGGAATAAATGAGATTATGTATACAAACTGGTAGACTTAATGCCAGGCACTTGGTAAGTACTCAATAAATGGTACCTACTAACAGCATCACTCCTTTTTACTTATGAACCAACTGCCTCCACCACTTAATAATTTTTAATTTCTTCCATGCTGTTGCTTCTGAGTAAAATAGTTTTCCAATGTATATTTATGTGAATTTTAGCTTCCTATCCAAATTTAAGTCCCAGAATTAACTCCTAGCTATGGCTCACTCAGGACAAGATCCTATACAAAGTGCATACTCAGTCCAAATTATTAATCTACTTTATGTTTATCACTTCTGGCTGGGTTCCAGTTTACAGGAACATATAGTTTCAGGATTAGGAATAACCTGATCTTGGTCTAGTTCTCATCTATACTTTAAGCTGTTTGGATAAGAAGAATTAATTGGCCTCCAAAGGATATGGGACAGGGAAGTGCCTGGCAAGTACTCACTCTCCCCTGTTAGGCTGCCATAGCAAAGGGCCTTCCCTTCCCAAGAATCTCATTCACCTCCCCCCAGCCCAGCTGTGAAGAATAGGGTCTGACAGGAAGGATGCCCCCTCCCCCCCTTTAAAAAAGATGACCGGTAAGGGGATCTTAACCCTTGACTTGGTGTTGTCAGCACCATGCTCTCCCAAGTGAGCTAACCGGCCATCCCTATATAGGGATCTGAACCCGTGGCCTTGGTGTTACCAGCACCACACTCTCCCAAGTGAGCCACAGGCCAGCCCCAAGATGCCCCTTTTTAAAAACTCTCCCAGAAAAAGCATGTACTCACCAAGGAGGAGATGGAGACAAACTTGGAGCAAGTGTACATTTTCAGGGGGTGAGGGGCTGTGGCAGGAGAGCTGGAATTATAGAAGCAGTATTGTAAACACTGTCCTTGCTCACTAAACTACATCCTTATTAGCAGAAAAAGTGCTCTAGAAAGCTTAATTGGCCCAGAGAGCAGAATGACTGACCGTGTCATCAGCAGAGATGGAATTAGAACACTGAAGTCATGATTTCCTCCAGAAACCCTACACAACTTCCAAGATTTCCTTATAATCAAATGGACTTCTCCAGGTCTGAAAAAGCAGTCACTTGTTATCCTTCCCATAGTCTTAGGATTTGGAATCGTCAGAGGAATTTTTCTAGTGTCCTTTGCCTAAGTTTTTCTCAGTCTTTATTCAAAAGGAACCTTTCTCAGGACTTCATTGTCTGGGCCTGAAAAAATTGCCCTTTGAAGACTAGAGTCTTTGGGGCTGGCCAGTTAGCTCAGTTGGTTAGTGTGTGGTGCTGATATTACCAAGGTCCAGCGTTCAATTCCTGTACTGGCCAGCTACCAAAAAACAAAACAACCCCCCCCCCCAAATAAAAATAAATAAATAAATAAAAGACTAGTCTTTGTACTCTTGAGAAATATTTGTTGAAGGCCAAGACACTGGAAGGTCTCCAACAATCTTTCTACTGAATTACAGTAGTTCCCCCATATCTGTGGTTTCGATTTCTACAGTCTCAGTTACCCTCAGTAGTCCAAAAATATTACAGTATTTTGCAAGACAGACCACAATCACATAACTTTTATTACAGTATGTTGTTATAATTGTTCTATTATTAGTTATTGTTAATTTCTTAATGTGCCTACTTTATAAACTAAATTTTTTTTTTCCTTTTTGTCTTTTTTACTGACTGGCAATGGGATCGCAACCCTCGGTGTTGCGTCCGCACCGCGCTCAGCCAGTGAGCGGGAACTGGTCTCCACATGGGATCCGAACCCTCGGCGGGAGCGCTGCCGCGCTCCCAAGCGGCACACTCTCCAGTGTGCCACCGGGCTCGCCCTATAAACTAAATTTTACCACTGGTATGTAAGTACAGGAAAAAACAGTATATATAGGGTTCAGTACTATTCATGGTTTCAGACATCCTCTCTAGGGGTCTTGGAACATATCCCCCATGGATAAGGGGGTACTACTGTATCTAGAAGTATTTGATTCCTCAAAACACTTCAATTTCCTACATTAATTAACAGGATGAGGCAGACCAATGAGGAACTCTGCCATCACTCTAATTAACAATGACTGTTAAAAGTATTCATTTTCACTGTCATACTAAGGGGTATTACATTTTGTATCCCAAGATCTAAAGAAGTCCTGACACAATGTAAGTGCCTGGTTGGTAGAACCGAACTTACCTGAGAGAGGGTAAGTTAAAGACCTAAAGGCAGGGTTTCTCAGAATGAAGCAGTAAAAAGCCCACCTGATCTGGAATTATCTGGGAGTGGTGAATGTATTAAAAATGCACAGTCTTGGGCCCCACCTTTGACCTTCCTGGTCAAGATCTCTGGGGATAAGGCCCAAGTGCCATATATTTCAAACAAGTTTCTCAAATGATTTTTAGGTACACTTATCTGTAAGAATACAGTTTTAAAACTAGTATTGAAATTATGGTAGTGGTAGAGGCAGGACTTGAATTAAATCTTTCCACTCTCAAGTTAACATGCTAATATACTACAGGCTGAAATATTCAGTGACTGCTTAGGCCTGTTCAACAACACTTCCTTAAATTAACTGTACTCAGACTGTCCCAAGTTATAAAACTTCAAAATCCAGAATCTTAATTACTTTAAGTTTTTTCCAGTTGGTAACACTTAACCACCATACTTTTAGATTAATGGAGGTCTTCAACTCGTCTGCCTCGAACTCTGATGTCTGCCTAACTCTAACTCAATTTTGCTGCCTGACTATTCAGATTTTCTTGGGTCAAAATCCAATACTTTTAATTTACAAATTAACATATGTAAAGAGTTTAATGTGGTGTGGGCAGGTAATAAGCCCACAACAGAGGGTGGCAATTAAGGAAAACTGCACAAAGTGTAGATTCTTCCACTGGTCACCTAACCTTGGCAAATTTGCAATTGTTAGCCTATACCTTGGACAAAGGCACCATCCAGAATCAGAGATCCTGAATCACCATGAATTTCTTCCTCAGGGAAGATGAATTCATAGAGTTACAGAAGTGCTGACTTAACCATTCCCTTCCTTAAACCTTCCTTTCTCTTGACAGCCGAATCTGGGGAGGTTAATACACTCTTCGCAGGAAAGCTGGCAGGTGTAGATTCTCATGCTGGCCCCTCCCCACCCTTGTGGTCCCGCAGCCTCTAACAGCAACGTTCACTTTTACCCCATCACTTGTGATTTCTCCAATTTCAGTGGAGTGCCGGGGAAGTAAGAGAACGGTACTGGGAAGCAACCAGTGGTTCCAAAGAAACCGGCCTCTCTCTTCTGCCCTAACTCTCCCAGGCCACAGCCTGACAGGAGGGGCTGTTTTGGCTGTTCTCTTCCACCACGTACAGGGTTTACTTTTTAAACTGAGGGGTGCTGACTAGAAGGATTGGTGGCTTTAGACCATCCCCTATTTCCACTGCTCAGAGCACCTGAGGTCCTGGGACAAAAGACTAGAGATTTCAGAATAAAGAAGGCACGAATCGGGATGAGAGAGGAGAAAGCAGGGATAGGAGGGGAGATTATGGCAGTTGAAACAACTTTGAAAGGGCAAGAGGGTGTGAAAAGACCGTTTGTAGGGACTGGGTAGGAGCAGGTGAAAATGAGCGATCCGCTTCCTTACTTTCGCCAGCTCCAAGGCACCCTCCCCCCACGAGATATCCAAGATGGCGCCAGGCCCGCGCGGTTGGAGGTCACCGGCACGCGGAAGGGGCAGCTCTAAGGCGCGGTGATATCGGGAGCCAGGGAGGGCGCGAAGACCGAGGCGGCAGCAGGTACGGTAAGGGCCTCAAAGCATCTGCGCGTGGTGGGGTGTTCCGCGCGTGTGCATGGCGCAGAGGGCACGAAGCCCCAAGGCCTTACCTGCTCCCAGTGCAGAGAAGACAGAGAGGGGCGCGGGGGCGGGAATAGCAAAAGGAAGGATCGGCGCATGCGTGGCCGGGGCCAACGAGTCGCTCCGCTACGCATAGAGTGATTGCAATGTTGAGGGTCGGTCCAGGCGCCACAGCGCCGCCTGCCCGAGCGGGGGCGGGAATAGCAAAAGGAAGGATCGGCGCATGCGTGGCCGGGGCCAACGAGTCGCTCTGCTACGCATAGAGTGATTGCAATGTTGAGGGTCGGTCCAGGCGCCACAGCGCCGCCTGCCCGCTCTGTGGCGGCATTCGGCCAGTCGCTCCACCTGGCGTTGGAGAGGAGAAAGTACAGGCGGAGCTGACTGCAGTAATGAGGCCAACTTCGTTCGCAGAGTAAGCCTGTCCGTAACGTGGCCTGCGGTTTGGACTGCACAGCTTTTGGGATCTTGGATTAGCTTCCCCTTTTCGAGCATGCGCAGTCACATTGGAAAAAAAAATCCTACTCAGATATTCAGTGTTAAAAAGCATTCGATCGGGATTGGGGTCTAAAATGTAGCAGGAGGATAATGAAATCATGGATTATTGCCCTCTGTCTTTCCAGGATGGAAACAGGTTCAATGAACAGGCTCAGTGGGCGAACAGTCAGCAAAATGCCCCAGCTGCTTCTGGTGTCTTCCCCCTTTTTTCCATTTCCCTCTTTCTTATTACGATGGTAAGCCATGAGAAAACCGACATCTGCGAGCCAGAAGATAGGGGCTATGATCCAAATAATATATTCCTGAGTCCTGGAACAGACTAGGAATAACGGGCACCTATGACCTGCAGTAATTTTGCGACGTTACAGCAGACATGCCTGAGCCTTTGCCCAGGTTTCACTTAGGCGAGTTGGGATGAGTAGTCCCCCCGATGAGATGCTCTCCTGCAAGCCCTCGTCTTCTCCCGCGTGCCCTTTCGCTCGCCCTTCCCTTGGTGGAAGGAGGTGGGCGTTTCCTGGCCCGCACCTCTTCTTCTAGGCCTCTTTGTCTCCCAGACAGGACCTGACTAGCTCTTTGGAAGAGGCGGGCGGCGAGGCCTACCCACTTCTAAACCCCAGCCGTCCGGGCACCGTGCTTGAACGCAGCGCGAGAAAGACGGGAAAAACTCACCAAACCCCCATAAAAAACAAAAAATAAAAAAGCCGCGGCTGTAAATAAAGCCAAATCCGCCACCCTCTGAGGAGCCGTTTGTCCTCCCCTCCTTGGCCCCGTCCTTCCCGCCGCCCCCTCCCGGCTCCCGGGCCCCGCGGCGCCCCGGCCCCGAGCTCCTCCATTTAATCGGATTTGGGAGAAGGGGAGGATAAATCACGGCAGCAGCTTTACGGTCCCGGAGGAGAGGCGAGCCGCAGCCAGGCACACCCCGGCCGGCGATAAAAACTGCCGCTGAAAGCCCACGGAGCAATTTCCCGGGACCCCGAGCGACGCCATTACAGGAATGTAATTTTGCCCGGATGAGGCCCCGAGTTTAATTATCCTCGCGGAGGAATTTCAATGCGGCCAATCCATCTTGCAGGCGGGCGGCAGAGGGATTTATATGGGCCCGTTATTTCACACCGATCCTCCATCTGCATTTTTATGGCCCTGAGCTCCTGAAAGGGAGGGGAAGAAGTGGGGAGAAATAGGAGAAGCGGGCGATAAAAGGAGGGTGGGGGACTTCCCGTCTTTCCTAAATCCACGATTCCAGCCCGATTAGGATTCTCACAGGTTCCCCTGAAGTTCCCAAATCTCGCTCCGGTTCCAGTTGGCTGGGGCGGGGGCGGGCGGATAGGTGAGGAATAGAACTGGGATCCTTGAGGATCAATCAACAGGTGTTTACCAAGTACCAAACGGTGCCAGGCACTGTGTAAGATGTTGTTAGGAGAAAGGGAAGACAGGCTGGCAAGAATTTAAGAGTTTATCCTCTAAGATCTCTAGACACCCCCACCCCCGCCGAAACGGAATTCCTTTTCATTCTCAGCTTCACATGCTCCGATGCAGAGAAAATCCACAGTTCTTAGGAGCTACCACTACCAAAGGGTTGTGGCTGCTGTTTGCGACAATTTAGACACTCTCAGATTTCTGACAATCCCAGAGAAGGGGCCTGTGAGGAATCTAAAGCTGGCTTCTCCCAAGAGTTGTTAGAACCTGCAGTGTTTAATACTCCCTACACAGTGTTGGGCTCTGGATTCAGACAAATCTGGGTTCCCAAACCGCTGTGTGACCTTGAGCAAGCTGTTTAACCCCTTCAACTCGATTTCCTCCTATGCAAATTGGGAATAACAATAGTGCTTACTCTGCAGCCAATGCTGGGATAATTTCATACTTGAAGCTTTTAGCAAGACGCTTGGTACCCGGTAAGAGTTCAATAATTGCAAGCATCATCATCACTACTGTTGTTGTTGTTGTTATAGTTAGCATTGCAACTCAATTTTGCACATCTCCCTAGATACTGTTTATTCCAAGGTCCTTGCGATGGTATCTCCTCAAAGAGTCTCAACTATCAAAACTTTTTCACTTACATATGTCGTGCAAAACAAGTTATTTGACATGTGGTAGGTGGAAATGTGTGGGGAAGCTGAGAATCCTGGGGGCTGTTGCTACAAGATTTGAAGCATGAAATTCGATCGGTAGAGGAGCAGCGAGACTACAAAAATTGGATGGAGTTATTTGAGGGAGGGGTGAATTTGAAGACAACCAAAGATGATCCAAGAGAAGATTAGCTAAGGGTCTAGGGATATTCTTAACCATGGGCTTGTGGAAAAGTCCTTCTTTCACTTCACTGGGGTCCAGCAAGGAAAGGGTGTGGTGCCAGAACTATTCTTTCCAATCAGTCCCTTTCATTTCCTACAGACCATGTAACAAGGTTGGCCTGATTGGCCGGTTTTTCTAATGACTACTAGTGGCAGATTCTGACTGGTTAGCAGCCTCCCTGCACAGTGGTGAGGAAGAAGTGAGATAGATTGATCTTTTCTTTCTTTGGATTGGTTAACAACCCTCAGGTGGGCCAGAGACTCATTTTAATTGACTGGATAGTGTAGGAGGGAAGTTCAGCATCTCTCATATAGAAATTCCAAGTGTTCTTTTCCACATAGGTCACCAAGAAAGAGTCTTGATTGGCTTAGGCATGTTTGCCTTTGGACGGGAAACACAGTAACTTAGAGAAGAAAAATCAAAAGAATTATGCAGGCATGTCACAGTTCAATTTGAAACCCCAAAGAAAGGGATTTACAGGGAGAAACACAAGAGGGATTAAAAGAGAGAGACAGAGACACTAGGTCACAGAGAAAGGCAAAGAAAAAAATATTGCCAGAGAGAAGAGGAAGGGTTTGAATAATCTGTTTTTCATTCCTAATGGTTTAAGCCGAGGCTACTTTATAATGTGTTTTGCTAAATGCACATGTTGTCAGCACATGGCATGAAAAGAACAGCTGTCTTGGAGGTAGGAGCCTGGGAGCCTAGTCCCAATCCTACTACTAATTAGTTGAGTAACTATGAAAGCTAACATCATCTGTCAAAGCTCCCGTTTTCTCATTTGGAAAAGTCAGGGAGAAGTGGGTGATCTCTAAGGTTCCATCCAGTGTAAACTTTCCAGGATTCTCTTTCTGCTAAATAGGCAATTTTGTAGAAGTTGAAGTGGTACCTTTGCACTGCCAATAAGTACTATTCCATGATGTTGAGCTCCACTATTTTTTTTTTTTTTTGATTGTTAATTTTAAGTTCTTGGGCTGTGATAAGCTGGTGGGCACTGATTGGTGGATTTTCTACTTACCCTTGCTAAATTGGTTCCTCAAGCCAGTAAGACTGTGAGCCATCAGTAGACCTCCCTACTCCTGGAGAATGAAAGCAATAGAGGGAGGAAGGGAAAGGATCATTGGTCTCTAGGCTTCTGAGGGATGGATCAGTAGAACCGTTGGTGACAAAAGGATAGCCAAAAAAGTATTAGCTGGGGAAGAACTTAAGTTCCTTTGAATTTGTATGAGGAATTTTTACATGTACTACATATTTATCTAGAAGGCATGATTAAAAGTCTATGTGAACAGCTTCAGTCACTGTCATTGGAAGTTCCTTCCCAAGTCAAGGAAAACACACAGACAAAATAGAAAATAAAAGTCAGCTGAGGTGGGGTGGGGAGGAAAAGAAAAAGAAGAAAATAAAAGACACTGTGATGTATTGTGAAGATCTAAGGACAGCAAGCTAGAGATACAAAGTCTTGATTTTGGGATACTGCTAATTACATGACTTTGAAAAAATCATTTTACCTTTCTGGACTTCACTTTTCTGATCTGCAAAATGTAAGAAAATACTAGATGATTACTAAGTTTTCTTTTATCTTTAAATTTATATTAAATAGCATAAATCCTACCTTCTTGGTCTGCCTTTGTCTCCTGTCACTTCAGATAATCAATATTTATTGAGCATCTAATATGTGCAAGGTATTGTGGTACCTATTGTGAATGAGTATAAAAAAGGAGAAACATAATTTCTTGTCTTTCTAAATTTGTAATCGGTAAGGAAGACACGTACATATATAAATATAATATGCAGCAGGATTTAATAGGCTATATGGGTAATCGAAGTTGAGGAACCAGTAAGACTTCCAGCTAGAATAATCAAGGGGACACCACGGTTAAAGTAGGTTTTTTCCTTCTTTGGAAAAAGTTATGAAATATCAAATCATATAAAAGAATACAAGAAATGTATATTCAATTATTCAACAGATGTTTATTGAGCATCTTCTATGTGCCAGGCACTGTTCTTGGTGTGAGGAACACAGACATGAACAAAATGAGACAAAAATCCTAGCCTTCCCAGAGCTGACATTTTATATAAATTATGAAGCATAATAAAAAAATTGCCACCCATTAAACTACCCCCCCATTTAAGAAAAGAAAAAAAAAAAACATTACCAATACCATGAAGGGCCCCATGTGCTTCTCTCTGTTAGTAACCCCTGCATTTTATGTTTATCATTTCCTGGTTTTTCTTCATGTTTTTACCACATATTATTTATTTTGTCCCCCCTCCTTTTTAAAAACCATTCTTTTTTTTTTTTTTTTTTTTGTCCTTTTTGAGATCGGCCACACCGCGCTCAGCCAGTGAG